TTGCACCTGTGTTTGGTCAAGTTTTGGGGTCTCCCAAAGGTCAACATCAATATGAGTGACACCTCATTAGGGTGCCCAATTCTGATACAGCCCAAGAGGTTTTTAACTGTCAGTCCAGGGTCCCACTCATCCAGGGCTCCACCAGCCTAGAATTACTCACTGCCAGAGTGTGTTGGTCCTGGGAGGGGAGCGCTGTTGGATTGTACAACTGGAATTGTGGCACTGAGGCAGTCACAGTGGTGATTCTGATGGTGAGACTATAACCTTTTTTGGTGATAGTTGTTAAATTTTCTCCTGGCTGAGATAAAATAAAGCCCACATAAACCCAAAGTCTTATACACCAGGGTAAACGTAAGTTTAGATAATTGTGTGTAGAAGTAACTAACACCCACGCAGTACTGCTGGACATCCACCTAATAGCTAAACAGTACCAAAGCAGTTATAGACCGGTGCTTGATTTAAGTAATAGATGCCCATTGTCTTCGAACCAGCTGCCAGGGAGCATTACTAGTAAACTACAATCCATAGCAATAAACATAACTAAAGACCTGGTGACAAATCACACAACTATGATTCCTAATACTGGTGCATACGCCCTTGGAAAACTAGCGGTGGACCATAAAGCCCACCTTGAGGCTAATGATCAACAAAGTCGAGAATACGTTGACACTGTATGCAAAATAGCCATCACAGCTCTAGCTCGACTCACTTCTACTCACAAATAGTTAAAAAATGCCCACGAGCAGGCTGCAGCCACCTCTTGGGTGAGCCAAAAACAATTAGGAGACAAAGCAAGGTTGACATACAGAGCTGAGGAATTAGCCCACCTCCTCTCTGCATATGAGCAAAATTTAGATGCCGCTGAAATACAAGTTGCAAAACAAGATCAGGAAGTCGTTGAAACCCACAAACTTCTTAGTCAATCTCACACTTAAATAGGTGAGGTAAACTGCAGCCAAACCACTGAGCTAGGGATTTTCCCTGATCTGGCAGAGCCCACGTCTCCTCAGCCACTCCACCAGCCGTGGAGCCCCCTTCGCGCACAGGTTCCATCCGATGGGGACCTAGACAAAATTGCATGCAATGTAAACTATTTCGAGCCAATGCCTGATGGTTCCCATGGCATTCATAGTTACCTGAAGGATATAGACTATTATCTGCACAGGTTCCCAAATGCCATGGTAGAGGACAAAATTTACTTAATCAAAAGAACCTCCAGCCAGGAAGTCAGCAACTTTACTTAGCGCCAGCCTAGCAGTGTTAGATTTCACTATGATGTCCTTTGTCCTACATCCCATAAATCCGCCTTAGCCGGCCAGCAGAATTCCAAAATGAAACCTGCTGAGGGAAATCCATCACTCTTTCATTAAACCACTTTATCACTAATTCCTGAGTCATTACATGAAAGAGGAATCGCGTGCAAGTTCTATGCACCCACAACCCTAGAAAATTAATTTGTACATGACGCGCTTCTTGACACATAATAAGACATTACTCTAATTTCATCAACTCTTTTCCAACAAGTGATGGCCACAGCATGGCCACATCGAGACCTGGGTCATAAAAGTAGAGAACAAAAGTAGAGTTACACCAAAGGAGTTGATTGTTAGTGGTCGCATAAATCAAGTGAAATCAGTATTCCTTCAACTTCTCTCCATGTTACCTTCAAAGAATTTGCACAGAAATCCATCTATAATTAGCTGTTGGGTAACATGTAGCTCTCCATCCCTGCTTATAGGCAGTTGTACAGCCTCACGCACTGCATCATTTAAGATACATAAATGAGCCCCGGGAGAGGGGGTGACTTGTAAAATTTATTTCAAACAAGCTGAACATTTTAGTATGGACTGCACCCTAACAATGTATGTCTTTCTCACCATGATAACCTGTCTGCACACTCCTAATTGTCGGCTCATTGATCTCTTGTGCTCTGTTATTGTTGTACTAGGGCCGAGTTTAGGAATTGGTCTGAAAGTGTGATGTATAGATCCTTGTTCTCATGTGAGGTCTACAGTACTGCCTTAAAAAGACGTGTGAACTCCAAAATATACTGTGTGTTCCCTTCTTTAGTAACCTAGATACACCATGCTCACACCCAACTTGTAAAGATGCTCCTGTCTGATATGTTACAGGAAGTCAGGTCCTCAATGAAAAGCTTACCCATGGTTTATCTAGTCTTGCCTCTTGGTACAGAATGTTCTTGTCACCCCATAACCGCTACACAAACAGAAATAATTGGCCAATGTTGATGGTTAAACTCCGCATCAAGGATTAACCTATAACCAGCAAATGACCACATCAACCTTAGTCATGTTTAGTCAGTGACATCCAGGCTTATTCACCCATTATGCATACAGAATGGCATCAATCTGACTGTATAATTGTTGGTGTCCACTAACCACTGTTTACAGCCACCATCAGTACCAGCGGTCCGAAGCTCCTGGTAATAACCTCCAGACCAGAGGGGGGAGTATGTAGTGAACACCACTATCTGGTTGAGCCAAAATCACCCTGTTTAGAAGAACTCTCCACATTACCCAAACTAAAAACTTTGGGTCCACAAAGTCTGAGGTAGAAGCCATAAAACAGGATTAAGTTGCCAACAAGTTTTACAGCTTAAAAGGGCGATACCTTGGGCATCTGGACACTGGGGGAGGTTAGCAACCGCCCTTTGCTCCATATGGCATACCAGGCAGCTATAAATCTTTGCCTGGAATCCAGCTACAGGCCTCACCAAACTTTTAACTAAACTTGTGAATTACAAGAAATTCAGTTTCTAAAGTGTGCACCAATACAGAATTGCCACCATTCAACGTTTCTACATTTCGAGAAGTCTGGAGACATCAAGAACGAGGTTGTTATGAGAATCTATAACAAAGTTAGCCGTTTTAGATTTTATTAACAATTTAGATACAGAACCACAACACCCCCAAGTGGTGAGAATGAGGCACAACACACCACCACCATAAGGACGTACTTATGAAGAACCCCAGGAAACATGTTGCGTTGTCTGCTTGATTATCAACATTTATATAGTCTGTAAGCAATACTACTTTTTTTTATTAATCTTATTGTTATGTGTATTACCTAAATATTACCTGTATCTTTTTTCTACTATTAAGTGCTAGAAATACATAGTGTATAACTTTGATAACAGACAGAGACAACCAATTGATTGTAATGAGTTTAGACCACTGACAAATATGTATAAGTGGTTTTCTTTTCTTTTCTTTCTTTTGTTCCTTTTCTTTTGTTGTCCATTTTATTTCTTCATGCATTGGGTCATATTCAGATATTATAGGCAAATATTACCTGTGTTCTTTAACATGTGTTGTGTATCAGGTAACAAGGGTTAAACTCTCTCTTATAAACATATCTGAATATCCTAGTTGTTCATTCCTTGATTTTGGAAGTTAAACCAATTTGATGATATAAGAATGTTTCTTTTTCTTTGTTTAAAACTAACTGAAACAAAAAAGGCAGTGATTCTGGGGAAGGCGTTCCTAAAATTATACACAACCAATCAGAGATGGAAACAATGAATAGCTAATTAACCATTAGGTGAGGAGAACCTATCAGCATTATGGCTCCACCTCTAAAGGGTAGGGCCTACAGCCTAGCAAAACCGGAGTGCGCTGCAAATTTCGGGGAGCCCTGTGTATTCAACAAGAAGACTGCTAAATTTCTAAGTTTGTGCCGGCCTTGGTCAGAAAGACAGGTCAGAAGTATTAAAACGCTAAAATTTCAGATCTGAAACCTTTGTTTGTTTTGTAACTTGTCTGTTCATCTACACACCTTAAGTTAAACCACCCTTAGAGAAGGAAGGTGAATGGCTCTCATCAGGCCAGGAGAGGTCGTTCATGTTTCCGACTTTGCCAAAGGTAGTTAGTTAGTTAAATTAGTATCACCAGCCTCAGAACCCTGACTGCAATCTAAACTTCGCCAGCGGAGTGGGAGCAGTTCTGATGCCATGGAGACCCGGCATCGCACCCAGAGCCACTCACTAATCTGTGAGCAGATTGACCATTGAAAGGCTGCCCAAGCTCCACCCTCAAACGGCCAGGAGACGCCTCTGCCCAATCACTGACGGAAAGGCGCGTGCCCGCACAGAGATGAACCAACCCGACTAGACTTCGAATAAATCTGGGTTACCTCAAACCCTTATCTAAGATTCTAGCAATAATAACATTAAATTTGCAAAATCCATTTCAAGTCATTTGGTCACTTATTCACTTGATCACTCATTTACTTACTCAGTCACTCAATCTCTCATTCAGTCAGTCATGGACTCAGTCACTAACTTCTAGCTTACTCACTTGACTTAGTTTATTCACTTGATGACTAACTAAATCACTCACCAAGCCACCTACTTTGTCACTCACTCACTTGGGTCACTCATTCGGTCACTCACTCGCTCTATCATTAGCTCACTTAGTCACTCACTTGGTCACTAACTCATTCACTTTTTTATTCACTCATTATTCATTTATTCACTCACTGATTCATGGCCTCATTCACTCAATAACTCAATGACACACACACACATAAACACACACACACACACACACACACACACAAAAACACACATAAACATGCACACACAGTGATGTCGCCCCCACTCTCTCTCTCTCTCTCTCTCTCTCTCTCTCTCTCTCTCTCTTTTTCCCTTTCAAACCTGCAGCTGTGTGGTTTCTCTGTATGTCCAAAAATGGAAGTTTTACAGGAATTACTCAGTTTAACTTCAGCTGGCTAATAGATACTCTAACTGCACATTTCATCTAATATACACTAAATTCTAATTTAACAGATTTACTCTTATTTTCAATACACTGAGAAATCTATATAAAAAAAATAATAATTTGAGAATATTAAATATTGCTTTAAATTACTGGGCAAGACAGCATGCATTGCAGTATAATTTATAATCTCTAATGCCAGTATTTAATACAGTTTAATTTAACACAATAATCTTCATGCAGAACACTCCATATATCACTCACCCCTTTGAGTCGAGTCATTTCTTTTAGTGATGTATCTGCGGTCGATCTCCTCATAGACTGCCTCAGTCAGAGTCTTACGCCTCCTCTTAGAGAGCACTGTGAGGAAGACAGAGAGAAACATGGAGCCAGTTCAGTAGAAGAGAAGACTGATGACAGACTGAAGGACTAATGATGTTTAGAGAATGTACAGAAAGTGGATTGTAGATGATCTCTGAATCTCTCTACCTCTCCTGAGCACTCTGTTCTGGTAAAACAGCACAACCAGAAGCACTAAGGCCAGGAAGAGCACCACTCCCAGAACCAGGAGGGACACTGGATAGATGGGCGGAACAGCAGTTGGAAGAGTTTGTGGAGGAGTTATTGTTCTCTTCACTGCCTGACCAACTGCAAATAAAAATACAGAGCAGAAGCTCTATAGGGCACTGAACGACCTATTCAGAAACATTTAGAAAAATGGCCTAAGAGATAAAAATAGTACCTGTAGTAGTGAAGGTGATGGTTGTTGTTATGGGTGTAGTAGTAGAAAGCACTGATATATCTGTGAATGCAAAAATAATACACAAAATTAAACATCAACAACAAAACACAAAAACACTAAAGTGAAGTCATGTAAACTGGCAATTCTGTATCAGACTTCATAAGAACTGCCTATGTGTTACTAGCATTAGAGGATATCTGCATCAATGCAGTCTTTCAAAGCAAGAAATAGGCAAGCAAAATTGTCAGAAACTCCAAAGTCACTGACCTTTACAGGTGACTCCAGCATCCTGCTTGTGGGAACAGTCAGTGTGCTTCTTCAGGGAATGAGGACAGTCCCACAGGTGAATTTCATTCCCTCTACACTTCACTCTGTTCAGCCAGATAGGCCCTTCACCAGCACCAAAGACAGCACTCCCATCAGCACTCAGTGCCAGCCCACAGCCCAACTGCCTGCAGACCACCTGAGCATCCCTGATGTTCCACAGATCATCACAAACAGAGCCCCACTTAGCGTTATGATACACCTCCAGCCTCCCAGAGCAGCTTCTATTTCCTCCCCTCAGCCTGAGAGGCAGGTGATCTACATCACACACATCAAATATGAGGAGATACAGAAACACTGATTGTGCAGGATACTCTCAGAAAACTTAAATTTTATTATTTATTTGAAAGAGTCCTTACTTGAGCACTGCCTCTGATGGGGAGATGATGAGGAGCATTTCAGATGACTTCGCTGCACAAGATGATATTTCTTATCTATGAATGTGTCAAAATAATTTCTTTACATGGAACTGTTTACATAAACCTGTTTTGATTATACATTTTGTCACTTCAGAGTAAACAGATTTATATACATTCTGTTTGTGTCAACATAGAAAACCACCACAAGCTCCCTACTTGAACAGGTAATTTGAGCCACCTCGTTGCACTTATAATTTCCCCAGGGTGAAGATGGACATTGCCACAGAGTGGAGTCATGTTTCCTACATTTCAGATCATCCAGCCAGTTAGGAGCTGATTTCACTCTTGCTTCATCTCGATTCTCACTGCCAGATCTTCCACAGTTCAGCTCCTGACAGATCAAACTTGCTGTTTCTTCATCTATTCCATTTTCACACACATTACCCCAGGTTCCATTGTAGAACACTTCCAGATTCCCCTCACAGCCCTCGGTGAGTCTGATCTCTTTAAACTCTGATGGGAAAATAATTACTTTGCTTTAAATCAATACATTGCTACATAGTATTACTTTTAATACCTATCTATGATTAAATCATGCTACTTTAGAAATTCAGTGTTTTATCATTAATGTGTTTTGTACAAATTGTCTCCCAGTTTGCATATGAGAAGTGGTGGTGAATGTATCCTTCTAACATTTTCAAAGACTGTGTAACTAGCTACAGCTGGCCCAAATTTTAAACAGCATTTAGCACATTTTACCTGAACACACGACTCCGACATCCTCCCTGTGTTCACAATCATCCTTTCCACACAGCTGAAATCTGCAGTTCAACAGGGACGTCTCGTTCCCCTCACACTCCACCAGCCATGTGGATCCAGTTCCAGGTCCAAACCGGGCTGGTACTGGAGCACTGAGGGCCACTCCACACTGCAGCTGTCTGCAGACTACCTGAGCATCCTTAATATCCCACAGGTCATCACTCACTGTCCCCCATGAGCCATTGTGGAAAACCTCCAGCCTTCCTGCACAATCTCCCCCAGAACCAACCAGCCTGATGGAGCTGTGAGCTGAATTAAACTTACCTACAAACACACACACACCCTAAAATTATTAATATATAAGTTAACAATTACTAATTATTCATAAAGAAAATAAAGTCCTCACTATGAAATAAACAATAAAGATTACAATATATTTTGCTGAGAATTATTTTAGGAAGATTCTTAGCAACTTTTATTATTTAACTGCTGTAATTCCTACCAGAGCAGGTGACTGAGAGCTGTTCTCTCGAGCTGCAGTTGACTGCTTGTGAGCTGCTGCAGTTCCCCAGATGAGCTTCACTCCCAGTACAATTGAAACCCGTCACACACATGTGTCTGTGTTCAGGACTGGATGTAGAGGAGCTGGAGAAGCTGAACACAGAGCCACAGCCCAGCTGTCTGCAGACCACAGAGGCCTCAGACTCACTCCAGGAGTCCAGCAGAACTCTCCTCCAGTCCTGCCTGAAGTACACCTCCACCTCCCCCTCACACTCCATCCCTCCAGACAACCGCACTCTCCCCTCATGAAATGCCAGAGAGGAACCTGAAGGAATTATACAATGAAGAACATATTTTCTTTTTAACTAAAGATGCAACAGATCTAGTTAAACACTTTTTCTTTGTTAGAATAGCAGAGTTTAATAGTTTTTGTAAAATACATTAGGAGCCGCTCACCATTACAGATGACTCCGGCATCCTGTTTATGAGAGCATGCAGTTCGACTCCATGATGAAATGGGACATTTTGACAGGTGGGTTTCGTTCCCCTGACAATCAAACACATCAGCCCAGATCTGGCCACTCCCCTCCCCAAACCAGTCTGACCCCAACACAGCCACAGCACTCCCACACTTCAGCTGACCACAGAGGACACTGGCAGCTCTCATATCCCAGCTTACATCACACACTGTGCCCCACTCACTGAGGTACTGGAGCTCCACTCGACCAGAACAGGAGTCCAAGCTGTTCACCAGCCGAGCCCCTGTGTGACCTTAACGCAGAGCTGAGAGTTTAATGACGTGCAGTGATTTGCCAGCTTGAGGATAAATGAATACTCACTGCTCACATAATTTCACACGTATTGAATTGATTAAAATGCAGTCTTTATAAATAACAGATTAATTACTGATACTTAACCGGTACATGTTAGTCCCACATCGTTGTCATGGGTGCAGATGTTTTTGCTTGTGGATTTTTTTTTACAGGAGTAAAGCTGAGATTCATTCCCTTTACACTGAAACTCCTCTGACCACATCTGACCCTCCCCTCTGCCAAAAGCAGCTGCTCCCAGCACCTCCACAGGAAGCCCACAGCCCAGCTCTCGACACACAACCTCTGCATCCTGCTGGTCAAAGTCAGCATCACACACTGTGGCCCATTCATTCCTTTTTGGTACTTCTAGTCGTCCAGAACATTCGTGGGGACCATCAGTAAGTCTGGGTTTGTCACCTGTTTATTTGATTTTTAGAAACATCATAAATATCAAATTAAAGCATTAATACTTCATATTTTATGTGAGAATATGCTACATGTAAGAGTGTTTTGATGTTAACATTTTAAGTCATTTTACAGAATTGACTCTAATCACCTTCATGAATAATGAGCACCACATCAAAACAGCATGAGTCTCTTTTTGTGATATCATCAATTAAACCAGGGTTGGGTCGTGACGGAATACATATAACATGTCGTTATGCAATCTGTTACAGTTACAGTAAAAAGACAGCTTCAGATTACAGGTACATTATAAAACAGAATGATTACCAGCAGGATTGCACACAAAGCAAACTCATTGTCTTTTGATGATGAATATGTCACATATATCTTGTAGATTTAATGAGTTTTTATTTTGGGGGGAAGGGGGGTGGTCCCGCTGCCAGGAGAGATGTCTGAAGAATCCAGAAAGTGTTTTCAGGGAATGTAAGTATTTTTTTTTCAACACAAGTTGAGCTATTTGTGTAAATACAAATCCACCCTTATATTACTTTAATTAATTTACTTTAATCACCATCTTGTTTCCTACAGCGCAGAACCATTTTGAAGCATGAGTCAAGCTCACAGCAAGTGCTGGCTAGGCTTAAGTACAGCCTCCATACTACAGGGTTAGCTGTGACAGAGCGTTACAACTAAGCCACCTTTAGAAAACAAAGATAAATAAAGACATTTTGTATTTTTGTTCTATATGTTTACACAGATTTTAAAATGAAAAAGAGAAAACATCTGAAAACAGGGACTTTCTTCTACTTTATTAGTGTCTTTCAGATACCAGTATTTTGGTTTAAGTAAGTATATTAATAAAATTGACATTAATAGTTGGCAAAGCTGAAACAATGTCACATATTTTACTGAAACAATGTCACATATTACTATATGTGTGATGTTTGTATTTGCTGTTTAACCTTGTTTGCACTAATTAATCAGACTTTTCTAGCAAGTGTTAAACTGAACCTCTGTCTGTTACAGTTAACCCACCCATGGTGTAAACTGTAACATTGCATTGTCATTTTTGGTGGAATTGTGCATGAACGGTTCACAAAAAAGCAAAATGTGTTAGGTTGTGCACTGCTCTCCCTCTGTGTTATTTTTATTGGTAGTACTGAGATCTGCAGCGTTTTCCAGAAGATAATCTGACTGAGGTGTTCACTCTGGATTTCCACACCAGATTCTACAGTATCAGACTGATCTGATCAGACAGGAAACTCTTTATTCTTGTTTGTTGCTCTGTAAAATTCTACAGTCTGACCAGCTATAAATCACACTGTTGAAACCCTTAACCTGACAGGTTTAAACTGACATTCTGAAAGGTGAACAGAAAGAAATTAATTTAGTTTCGTTTCACTTTGTTTCACGTATGTTTACTGTCTTCAGTAGTTTCTAATGATGTATTCAAAACATATGTGTAAATTACCATTATGTGTAACTGAGACGATCAGCTCCCACTTAATGCCTGTTATAATCCTCATATAAACTCGTGGATATGTGTGGACAGAAGCAGCTTGAAAGTCCACCACGACGCACCAACATGAAACCTTATGATCCAGTTCAGCCTTTTAGCAGATAGGGCACACATGATGGTCAGCCAGAGGTGTTAGGATGACCTTTAATTCTGTTTATTGTTACTGAGGGGTCTCAAAGTAAGATTTATACCAGATAGATCTTTTGAGTTTGGCATGAAAAAAAGCAGGTTTTTAATAAATCTGTCAAAAATGTTCCAAGTGCAGCAGTGTAGTTTTAAACTATTTCGCATTTGATCCAGTGTATTTTATCATTCTACAGTGATTACTTGTTAAAAACACATTTGTAAGCAAAACTTAATTTCTGAATTTCAAGATTTGAGTATGCACGTCTAAACTCAAACAATTTATGCTGTTTTACAAGTTTGTATTCTATCATCTATATATTTTAAATAAATTAGGTTTCACTAAAAGTGAGATCAGTGTCTGTTTCTATGAGACACAACATTTAAGTCACCAATAATCTCTTCTTCTGTTTCATAAAACAGTTCATTTGTTTTTGTGTGTTAAGTTAAATTCTTTAAAAAGTCTTGTTTAAATATTTTTTCTCTTTTTATATTTAAGTAAACATCTTTAATTAAAGACAAGTAATCAAAAAGTAACAGAAGGTAATTAGATTACATTACTTTAGTACAGTTATCCTTTAGGTTAGGTTACAATTACATTTTTAACAGGTAATCAGTCTGTAACAGAGTACATTTTTAAAGAAACTCTCACAACCCTGAAGTAAACTAGTAATCTCACATAGAGTAATGAATATTAAAATACATATTAATATAAGTACAACTTACCTGAACAGTTGACTCCAGCATCTGCTATATTACAGTAACGGTAAGATGTATAAACGAAACAGTTCTTCAGTGAAGACTCTGATCCTCTACAGTGTGCATACCCCATCATCACTGATCCTGATCCTGATCCAAAACTCACAGTGCGTAGAGCGTCCATACAGCCCAGCTCTCTACACACCACTGCAGCATCAGTCATACCCCACTGATAACTACACACTCCTTTCCACTGTCCTTTCTCATTAACCTCCACTCTCCCAGCACAGCGACTTCCACCATCCACCAACCTCACACTGACTGTACAACAAAATAAAATATTTTTATATAATATTTTTAATAAATAAATTATCATAAAAATCATTTTGAAATCCTTAAAACACTTTTTTCTAACACTTTAATACAGAGTAAAGGAGTCACTCACTGAAACTAGACTTAAAATTATTGTTTTTAATACCATATAGTGATTTTAAAAAAGGTTGTATGATTCATGACTCACCATGATTCACCATTTACAGCAAAACATCACAACACACTAAACAAAACATTCTGCTAAAAACATGCAGTTCTTTTCATTTCAGGTATGTGAATTTATTTATATATTAAACAGACAAAATGTGTCCTTACCAGCTGTCGTGAGTGTGATTGTGGAGGACAGAAGAATGAGAGCCACACAGCTGTCCATCTCCCTCTGACCTGCACACAGACCGTTCAACTCAGCAGCAGAACAAGCTTCACCTCCACTCCCCCAGACAGACTGAAGAAACTGACAGAGAGAGAGAGAGGGAGAGAGAGAGAGAGAGAGAGAGAGAGAGAGAGAAAGAGAGAGAGAGAGACAGAGGCTACAGCCGCCAATCACACTCACTATGACCTTATTAGAAAGAGGAGAGGAAATCATCAAACATTTTCAGTGACAAATCAGAGGAGGCATTTTTTTCTTTCTCCATATTTATCAAAAGAGCGTCAGCACTGATGAACAGAACTCCACCTCCGTCTCTAGAGGTGTGTGTGTGAGGAGAGACGCTCGCAGCAGTGTGGTGAGAAACACACCAACATACAGGAGACTGACTTCAGAGAGAGGAAACACTCCAGTGTAATACAGCATTAATGCTGCACCTGCAGAGAGCTGATCCACACACTGATAACCATCGCACACACACGCACACACACACACACATACACACACACACTGATAACCAGCTCACTCACACACACACACACACACACACACACACACACATAGACACACTGATAACCAGCTCACTCACACACACAGACACAAATAAACTACTCACTCATATACATGCACTGGTAAATGACACACACACACACACACACACTAATAAATTACACACACACAGCCACGATAATAGACTACTCATAAACACACACTGATAAACTACTAACACACACATGCACACACACACACACACTGATAAACAACTTACAAAGACTGATAATTCAAACAAATCAATAAAAATACACATGCTTACACACACACACACACACACAAACGGTCTGGAACACAACGGGGAAATTTCACCTCTGCATTCTAACCCATCCATGCAGTAAACACCACATACACTCTAGTGAACACACACACTAGGGGCAGTCAGCACACTTGCCCGCAGCAGTGGGCAGCCCTATCCACAGCACCCAGGGAGGGGTTGCTCAAGAGCACCTCAGGCCCATACTGTCTGCACAGGGGACTGAACTGGCGACCTTCCGGTCACAAGGCTGGTTCCCTAAACTGTCTCCAAAACAGGTCAGTGGCCTGTACGGGTCTGAGTTATATGCAGAGTCATTCTTATAAAAGCATGTAGTAAAACCCGGCCATTTGAAGAAATAAATACAGTTTTGCTTTTATGTGTATTTACAACGATTTATTCCTTTTAGGATTTTCAGTTAGAGATTTGAAACAGCCATCATGTAAATCAAAATTCAGAGCACATGCTTCAAACTTGCAGCTGAAACCCTCAACCAGAATAATCTGCTGTTGTTAATCGACATGTTTAACCAGATTAAATCTAATCTCATCCTTTATTGATTAAGCTTTATAAAATATTTTCATTATCAAGCAATACTGTGTAAGTATTCTAATCAACCTTCTGTATGCAGAAAGCAATCAGAAAGCAATCATCTTTTTATGCAGAAAGCAATCAGAAGGATGGAACCTGTTAACATATTAGTAAAGCAATCATGGATTTCAGTACAGTTCAGTTATTTATTTATAAAGTGACAAACTGTTCATTCAGACTTTAAAGAGTTCTAAGATCAGAATATTAGAAGAAAACTTTGCTTTTATTTTATATGTAGGTATCATGGAAGAGCCTGTGCTTTCATCTTGCTGCAATAGTCTCTTTGTCTGCAGGGCTTGAGTGCAGTAACGGGCTGAGTCCTTATCTGAGCACCTACAATGCAGAACAGAGGGTTCTGCAGACACTACCCCTCTCACTTTTTGATAGAGTCAGTGAAAATGAATGTTTTACCAAGATTACTCTTTTGATTTCAATCTCTACCTGTTTTAGTACCACAGTCTTCATTCAAGCTGCTAAGAAAATGGATATCAAAATTTATTTGGCAAAACAGGAGAATAAGAATTCAATTAAAAATGTTAATGTCCTCAAAAGAGAAAGGAGGTCTGAGTTTACCTAATCTAAAACTATACTACTGGGTGATCTAGCTTTGAGCAGTGGTGGCATGGATGGTCAATGATTTAGAGAATAGATGGGTCTCTATTGAACGAAACTCTATACTAGGAATACCATTATCTACTCTTCCATTCTTAAATCAACAATCTTAGGGAAAAAAAAATAATAATAAAATAATGTATGGATTAAATGCACATTGAAAGTATGAGCTTCAGTCCAAAAGCAATTAAAGGGAGCTATAGTTTTGTCCCGGGCGATGCCCTAGTAGGAAATGTGGAATTTCTTTCTTTCTGTTTGGGATAATGTGTATAAAAGATTGGCTGAGAAGGGGCTGAAAACAATTAACCACTTGTTTAATAGGCACATATTTAAATCTTTCTAACATCAAATGTACAAATTAGACATTACATTACAAAAAACACAAACTGGGATACTGTTAAAAGAAAACCAACCAGTACAGAAACACATTTTATAAATTTGTTTGAACACCTTGCATCACCCATCTCATATCTACAAAAAAAACTAATGATTGACTTTCAAGACAACACTTTACATATCAGAGGAGAATGGGATTTGGAGCTGAATACAGTAATGGAGAACGAAGTCTGGGAAACTGTATGTTCCAGATCTGTATGTGGAAAGAATTTGATTGGAAGGTTAAAATGGGGTGTTTCAGGACTTCACTGGTTGCTTGTGTTTTTTTTTTAAATCTACCAATAAATGCTGGAAAACAGTGGTACAGTCTGTGGTCACACTCCTTTCTTCTGGGATTGTCCAAAAATATAGACATTCTGGAAGAATGTTAAAAAAAAAAGTTGGAGAAAATTCTGGAAGCTCATATTCTTCTTGACCCATTACTGTTCTTGTTGGAAGTGTTGCCTGAACACGTGTCTACCAATGACCAGTGTTAGATACTGCATGTTTTGTTGATGGTTGCAAGAAAATTAATTACTATTAATTGGATGAAGCCTAATCCCCCAATGACTGTTCAATGGTTACAAAAAGTCAAGCATGTTTGTATGATGAAGCATGACAGCCTGTGACGAGTCAAACAGAATCAGACGCTTGCAGATATAGACTACAAAGGAGGCTTTACTAGTAGAAGTGCAGTACAAGTTCGTGGTCAAAAAACAGGCATGGGTCAATTCCAGAAAGCAGACGAGAAACAAAACAAACATACACCAGGCCAACAGTCCAAACAGGAGAAGGCAAAAACGTGGTCAAAAACACAAGCAGAGGGTCTAAGTCCAAAATCCAGAATCAGGTAAACAATCCAAAGGGCTGGGCAAAAAGACAAAGTCAAAGAACAAAGCAAAGGTCATACACGATAATCAGATTTAGAAATAAACGCTCAGTAGATCAAAAAAACGGATGCAATACTTCGCAAGTTATCTAGTCTAAAGCCCGGGCTTAAATACTACACTATAGTAGTCATATGATCAAACACAGGTGACAGTCATTAGTATTCAGGAGATCGCGAACGCGGATATGAGTTTGAGGTCAGGTGGGGAGTCATGTGACCTTCCGCAGAGTTCTGGGAGTTTGAATCCGGCTGTCTATCTTCGTTGGTTGGCTGTGTGGAAGTCAGGTGATCTCCCAGAGGACTCTGGGAGATCGAGTCCGAATCCAACGAGGCACTCGGCGGATGCGTGACACAGCCCAGCTACAGTTAAAATTATTTATTTTTATTAGAACATGGAAACCTGTTATTGTTTACCTCAATTGGGTTTTTTTGAGTATGTGGATATAGAGGCATAGAATGTGTAGATGTGTTCATGTTCTGTCCCTGCAACATGTATATTAAGTGAAGCCTCAATCTCAAGGTGAATTTATCACATGTTAAATGCCTGTCAACGTGTGTTAATGGCAATAAAGTTTAAAAAGAAGTTTGCATTTAATAGTTTGAAACTACTTTTTATGTGGTCTATCCTTGTTAATATCTTTGAGTGATGTTAATGAGATTAATTATTGCATCATGGACAGGTTGGTGGTCATGATTGACAAGGTTGTCAAACAAAACTGAAATATCTGGGTGCTCTGCAGCAAATTCTTGCTTAGCTTGAGCAGTGTCTTTTTCAGATGAGAAGAAGTTGTTGCCGAAAGTGGACACTCTGGTCAGTGTGAATCCTAGCTTAACTTTGTCAATCAGTTTCTGGTCAGTGAACATGATCAGTGCCTCCTTAATCTGATAGTTTGTCATGTTAATAATATCAGCCCACATCCTCTCAATCATGTGATTTTGTTGGCAACACTTTAAGGGCAGAAGGATAATTACATTGCTATATGAGATTTTTTGAGAGATTTTGAAAAGGGGTAACTTGTGTAAATGTTGCATAGTTGTAAATAAACTTATTGTTTTAATTTCATTTTGATTATTTCTGAAAGTCACAAAATGGACCAACATTTCCTTGTAAGACCTGGTAATTCATTTTTGTCCTCTGTGGGGCACATGAGTCCCCAAAGGATATTTAACATTTCAGTGCTGAAACCTGGTGCATCATGTAGAGGACATCCTGGCCTTTTCAGTGATATATCATTTGTTGGTGTGTCAACAATGCAACAAAGTAAACTAAAAGCCCGGCCTTTATACTACTCTAACTAGGTAAACGAAGACAGAAACAGGTGAAACAGATTAGTATTCAGGAGAAGCTGAACGGTGATTGGAGGGGGGTGGAAGGTCAGAAGTCACATGATCTCCCAGAGGATTCTATGGAGTCTATGGAGGTGTCAGGGCTGGAGGGATGTGTGACATTATTGTTTTCAGTGGGAGAGACATACTGTTATTGTGTTCTGAATATCTCGTGTTTTATGTGCCCTACATGCCTCTTTGTTGTGCAGAGTGTTCAGGTCACCCAGAGTTGTCAGATCAAAGGGAAGGCGGACATCTGTAATTGAGGAAGAATTAGTGGCTACAGTTCTCCACAAAATTAAGTTATGATAAACAAAATGATTGTATTAGCCAATCCGAAGCCCGCTGCCTGTTCTTATGTTGATGCACAGAGGGCAGCAAAATAATAATGAAGACTAATTGCAGACTGAAACATTGAACTAATTTAGGGTAGCTGCTCCTCATTATTATTTTGCTGTCTCCTGTCTCTGCGTCTGTCGTGTCTCCTGTGTCTGCCCTGTACACTCTGTTGCTGACAAAGCTAATGGTAAGTGAGAGATGATTAGCTACACACTTTCACATTCTTGTACTGTTAGAGGTGAAACTTATCCAGTCCAAACAGACTTCTGCTGTTCCAGAATAAATTGACATCATCAACAATTCCTTGTGGGTAGCGTGTAAAATGCAAGCATAATGTCGAAGCACCTGCTGAAATGGCTCATCCTCCAGCCACCTTAGTGTGACCTGATATGTGTTCATGTTAGGAGTGTTTGAAAGAGGATGTTAAGATAGAGATTCATGACTGTGTTGGTTTACATCTTCAGTTAAGAACAACCTGGGTGTGTGTGAGGGTGTGGATGTTAGCGCTAGTTAGTGTGTGTGCGTATGTGTGTGTGTGTGTCTGTGTGTGTGTTTGAGCTGATTAAGGGTGTGTGAGGATGTGTGTGTTGGAGCCGGTTACATGTGTGAGAGTATATGTGGTGTAAGGATGTGTTATCAGTTCCTATAAGCTCTGTACCACACTATTTTTGAGCACACGTCTTATGTGGATAAATTCGTAATTTTTGTAAACATAACCTGCTTATATTCATAGCTATGAAAATATTTTATAGCTATGAATAAAAAAAAAAGTTAAAGGTCTTGAGACAAATATTAAACCATTTGATTTATTTCAGTCTTAAAGCTATAAATGGGATTTTGCCCAAAAATGTATGTCCAAATTTCATACATATATTATTGTCTCTTTAGTAACTCATCCAGTAAAAGTTCTACAGGTGCTGTGTGGAGCTCTAGTGTTTGC